ATCTGTTTCAGTGTGATCTTCAACTGGTGTTTCACCTTTTGCACTTTTGTTTCCTCATCTAAAGTAAAAGGCAGACTAGATGACCTTCATGAGCTCCTAGGTTTAAACCTTCCTCAAGACTGCACCTCTTTCTTTCAAAGGGATTGGGGGTGGGGAAGTTTTAGTTCTTGTTTGTCCGAATCCAGTGTGAGCTCCTTTGGTTGCATATGTTTATGCTAAGGGAAAAGCCTATTCGTTGTATATTGTGAGCCCTCAGTAACATTATCCTCAGGTGCACAAGAAGAAAGAATATAGCTGGATCCTGGTGCAAGGGGAAAGCCCTGGCCTGCTGATCTCTTTTGGCTCCCTGGGGCCCGGCTCTCCTTATAGTAGGGTAGTCAACATTCCTCTCAATCTTATCCCCTCCCTGAATCCCATTTCATCACAGTGGGGCCAGGGAAAGCAAACCTTCTCTTCTTTTTTTAGCCTTCCCATTCCTTTTTTTTTTTTTTAAGAAGGAGGGAAGGGAGGGGAGGGACAGGACATTGACGTGACAGAGAAACATCGTTGCCTCTTGTATGGGCCCTGACCCAGGACCTAACCCACAACCTGAATATGTGCCTGGACCAGGAATCGAACCTGCAATGTTTTGGTGTATGGGACAACACTTCAACCAAATTGAGCCAGGGCAGCCTCCCCATTATATTAAGTTTGAGCAGGATGGGCAGTGAGTAAGGAAGGTGAAACCCCCCGAGCCAGGTTGCTCCCTGCTGCTGCTACTCCTTCAGTTGGGTACCCACATGACGGGCTCCTGCTGTGGAAAACCTTTCTCCAGACGAGAACTTTCTCAAGACCACATTAGCAACCAGAAAGAATGTACACGTGCAGAAAGCTCATTCAGCTACTGCCCTCTTTCATCAAAGGGGAGGAATAGGTTTTCAGAGTCCTCAGCCTCATACTGCAATGTAGGTGTCCATGAGGGCTGCTTCCTGGAGGTGCAATCCAGACCTTGTCGGGCTGTCCCAGTGTCCTCTGTTGCTCTGTCACAGTGGCTCTGAGCCAAGCAAAGGGTGTACGGCTGGGTCTGTTTTAACCCTCCAGCTAGCTTCTCTCACAAAATTACTGCTCATAACATTTGCTCTGAGTTGAGCCTCGTTTTGCTCTTTTGTGTGTGTGTGTGTGTGTGTGTGTGTGTGTGTGTGTGAGAGAGAGAGAGAGAGAGAGAGAGAGAGAGAGAGAGAGAGAGAGAGAGAGAGAGAGAAAGACTGCAAGGATTGGGAAGTTTTAGATATAGTGATCTAGTTCCTATGGATATTTTTGAAGTTCCTTTAACAAAGAATGCTTTCCTTTGCATTTTCTCTCCTGCAGTGTTCTATTCATTCATTCAACAGGTACTAAACTAAGCTTTTTGAAAGCAAATGTATAACAGTTTGCTCAAGCAGCTAATAATACAATAAGAAACGTCAGATAAATAACTTATGGTGATGGCTTCCCAAACTAAAGTATTATTCAGAATCCCTTGAAGAGCAGACTTTCTGATTCAGTGGGTCTGGGTGGAACCAGGAGTGTCATTTCTACCAGGCTCCCGGGGCTGCTGCTGGTCCCCGACCACTGTCAAGTGCATTGTGGTGCTAGAGTGCAGGCTGGAAAGTATGGTTAGGGCTTGGGAGTGTAGAGGAGGAAGGAAATAGCCCCAACCTTTTTATGTTATTTTACCTGTTATATTTATTTCCTGGGTCAGATTTTTCTGAACTTTGTGAGGCCATAAAAGCTCACTCGAGGTCTCTCTGGGCTACGAGGGCCTTCGGGCTCTGAGTCCATGTCAGGCAGGAGACCTGTTTGTTCCAATCCCAGTTGTTTCATCCTCCTTTATGTCTTTCCCCTGCGCTGGCTGCTTATGCCCCTCCCTAAGACAGGGTCCCAGGGGCGGCAGGAATGAGCGCAGACCTCAAAGGTTTTTGAAGGGGAGCTTACTTTAAAAACTCCCTGGGTGAGAGCTGCTGTCAGAGCAGCTTTCAGAGGGTGTTCTCTGGAACCTGCTACCTCGGGGACTGTCACAGGGGTTGAGGTCCTTCAGTCTCCCTCCACCACCAAGTACTTTTATTTAAAAGGGGTTCTGGGAAAATTAGTTCGAGAAAAAGGTTCCGTGGCTTTTATTTTTAACTTTGAAAATTACTGCTCATAACATTTGCTCTGAGTTGAGCCTCGTTTTGCTCTTGTGTGTGTGTGTGTGTGTGTGTGTGTGTGTGTGTGTGTGAGAGAGAGAGAGAGAGAGAGAGAGAGAGAGAGAGAGAGAGAGAGAGAGAGATTGCAAGGATTGGGAAGTTTTAGATATAGTGATCTAGTTCCTATGGATATTTTTGAAGTTCCTTTAACAAAGAAAGCAGTGGTATATCTTTAAACAACTTTTTATGATTTTCCACTGGATACTATTCAATAAACAAGCAGTATTACACACTACATGCCAGTCTCAGAGCTGGCCCTGGGGTGCAGACTTGAGTAAGCCTCAGATTCTTGAAAACTTGTTAGGAATTATCCTCACTCCTCTCCTCTCCCAGTGGTCACCAGCTCAGCTCAAACATCTCCATTGACTCATTTTGAGCACATCCTCCTCCTGACCACCCCCCTGGGTGCTACTTGTCTCTGGACATTTACAGTCACTCCTTGTGCTTCCTTCACAAGAGAAGGGAGACAAGACAGGATATATCAAAAGATTTACCATGTGAGAGCTCACCCTAATCTCTTGGGCCTCTGCTTCACTACTTGACTATCCCATTACTCAGCAGCTTTGGGTTTGCCTCCAAATCCCCATTCTGCTGGGCTAGGTTTTGTGCAAATGTTATTCAGTGAATCGTCTCTGAGCATCAGTAGAAACCCAGTGGGTGGTGATGCTTTAGGATGAAAATGCCAGTGTCCGGCAATCATCAACTCCATCAGTCAGGCTGAGCCTGAAACGCTGACTCCCCTCATCTCCGTTAGTTCTCTCTTTAGGATCAGATGTCTTAAAAGACATTTGTTTTAAAACCCTCTAAAGGAAGCACCCATTGATCAGGCAGAAACCCGCATTCGGCTGGTCCCGGCCCAGCACAGCCCCTTTGGTGGTGGTCACTCCTGCTGTCCCAGCGGGGCTGAGAGCATGGCTGAGAAACTGAGTGTGCCGGGCTTGAGACTCTCTTGACTTTTCAGAAAGACTCCAAATATCTTAAAATAGTATGGTAGCTGAAGTACCAACAATAATAGCACGTTGTTCCTGAGAATGGTTGTTCCAGTTCAGGCATTGGTTCTAGCAGCACTGAGCTTCCACAAGCGGGACTCCCACAGGAGCGGCTCCAATGGAAATCAGATGGTCTCCTCGCAACAGGAAACGAGGTCTGGTAGCATTCCCTCAGACCGCCCCTTTTGAGGAATTTCCTTACAGAAACTATACACACCTACACCCTAGGGCTGGTGGTATCCACCTGATCATTTTAAAGCGGCTGTGACGCTAGTTTGCCTCCCTCAGTAATAACAATCACTCCACTCTCTGGGCCTAGGCTCTCCAGCCTGGACACAGGCAGTTGTGTTCCCATCACCAAGCCTGAGGAGGGCATCAGGTAGAGGAAGTGGGGAAGCCAGCCGGCCGGCCCCCTATAGAGCACAGAGTGTTGGGATCCCCAAGCTGCCCTCTGAATGGACAGTCATCAGTCAGCTCTGGGCTCCATCATCCTGGCAGAAGCCCTTGCCATGTGGCTGGCTGTGGAAAGCCTTGCCCACCTCCCACCCACCAGGCGCACATGCACCCACAGGCTCAGCTGCTTTCTGGTGGCTCCATAGAGCAGTCCCCACCTCACTCACACTCAGCAAGCAGTTTTGTTGCTAGCCCCTTCCCAGACTGAAAAGCCTGCTCAGAGCCAGAGTTTGGGGGATGACGAGGATGAGGGAGACCTGGGATGAGCAGGCTGGGTGGCCTCTGAGATGGTGGGACTCTTCTCCTTGGGTCACATGCACTGTAGGCCTGGAAAGTCCTGAACGGTGGGTCACTGATGGCTTTATCAGCCACCTTTCCCTGAGTCCCTGAGCAGGTCTGGGCAGCATCCTTGACCTACTTGAGTTCAGATTTGACAGGTGGTAAAAGCGCATGTTGAGGTTGCTGCTTCACAGGGTCCAGATTCATAACTATTGACTGATGTTCCTTCTGCCTTTGCCCGGGTGTTTGCTGTTACTTTAATGGATTGCTGCCCAGTGCATTCTGAGGCCCAGGCACTTGCCCTTCAGTCTGGAAAACTGCAGCTTGATCCTAGTGGAATCAGAGCTGCATGAGGATCGTTTAGACCAGTCATTTGCAGCTTGATTCGCTTTTTTTCCCTAGAAAATAAATATAGTTGGTGTAAACAGCATTTGTGAATGTTCATATTTGCATCTTTGTGGAGCTTAGCTTTAATCAAAATACTCGAGGCTTTCCACTTCCATTTTCTGAATTTTTAACAACTTATACGCTGTGTAGGTACAACATCTGGTCCTGCGCTTCTAAGCGCCAAATGTGAAATGCTTGATGAACATAATTTATTTGTCTATTAATTATACTGATAAGCAGACAAGTCCTTCAGTTCTTCCAGTCTTTTGGGGTTGTGCCAAGAAGCCGTTGTTCTCCCAAAGGCTCTCAGCGGTTTTCAAGAGATATCTCCTACTGGTTCTTTTTCTTCCTCCTTCCCTGAGAGGACCACATGCACTGTTTATACAGGAAATCCCCACTGCTCTGGGTCTCCCAGCTCCGGTTGGAAAGACATCAGAGTGCCCCGGGCAGAGCCTGCCGGCCTCTCAGCAGGCACCCGCAGCCGCAGCTGATGCGAGTTGCTTTCTCTCATTGTGTGTTTCCCGTTCCCTGGCTTAGAGTCCGCAGGCCAAAGCCAGCAGGTTATTAAAAGAATGAGAGTCATTTGACTTCTGACATGGATTGGGGCTCTGGGTTACTGGGTGTTTTGTTCTGATTTGAAACCGGCTGTTTGGTAACCACTAACTCTCCCCTTATTCTTTTCTTGCAGATGAGCTCACAGTGCCTGCACTTTACCCCAGTAGCCCTGAAGTGTGGGCCCCGTACCCTCTGTACCCAGCGGAGTTAGCGCCTGCTCTACCTCCTCCTGCTTTCACCTATCCCGCTTCACTGCATGCCCAGGTAATTTATACCCATCGGCCACGACTTCACTCACTCCTCCACCAGTCCTTTCAAACCTGGTTCCCAGAGCACACCATACAACTAACACCTACCAGCTAACAGATCCACCTTCGAGAGACTACTGATCCCCTCTAAATCGAGCTGACACTCCTCCAGGACTTATGAGGACCATCTGACAGCAATGATATCACCCACTGCCTGATGTTTGCCCAAACAACACCTCTCTCTTCCTTAATGATCGCACCCTCATGTCACCCACGAGGGACTGGGCCCAGGTGACCTCCCCAGCTCCCAGCCAGCTAGAGGTGTCACTAGAACATAGGTGTGTGTGTGCCTTGTCGTGTGGAAGGGCCGTAGGGGAGGTGTGCGCTTGTCGTAGGAGTCGTGTCTGCGTGTGTTTCTGCGTTCTGGGAGATTTTTCTCTCGTGTTCTCTGACAGCTAGGGACCAAAGGGGAAGTTGGGAGCTTCCAGGAATATGTTACAGAAGAAATTAAGGGTTTCTTTTTCCCATTATCAGGAAATCCTGAAGAAAAGAAGGTACAAAATAGTGTCTAGAATGTAATTGCAGGTCAAAGTAGAGGCCTTTATTCTGACCAGCTTTTTTTTTTTTAAGTTAAGAATAGCCTGAGATTTATAAATTCCCTTGTTTCTTCACAAAGATTACTGTCTACCTACCAACCCTTTCCCTCCCCTTGGAAAGAAAAGCTTTGCTTTTAGTGCAAGCAGTAATCAGTATTATGATTCATGGTGATGATCAGTAGCAAGAAAGATAGGAGAGTCAAGGTTTCACTTGTCTACTGCGTGTGTAACTCCTCCAAAAGCAGGAAAGCCTGGTTTTTTAAGACGTGTTGGCTTGGACAGGTGGGGTTTTTGTCTGTTTTGCTTAGTGTTTATTTCCAAGGCTGGATGAAATAAACAGCTTCCCAGAGTACTCTTCCTTCAGACTGAAGCCTTCTGTGTTGTACAGAACTCACCGTATTGTGTAAGACCCTACAACAGTCCCAGCGAAGGTTCCCACAGGGCGTGGGGCCAGGCGTGCTGTCGGCTGACTGTCCTTCCATTCTTTCGCTAAGCTCTAAATGCTTCCTGCGTGCGCTGACAACCGGCTTCCCAGGCCTCGTGCAGGCGAGCTGAGAGACAGCCTGGGAGCCTAGGCAGTGGCTACTCTCTGTGCTGGCAGGAGGAGGCAGAAAGTAGTGAAGAAAAACGCAGGTGGCACTTGGTCCGGAAAATAAAGTAACAAGATTATTCTGAGACTAATTCCCCTTTTCTAGATTAGCTGTGCCTTCCTCTGCTTTTTCCACCTTTTGTCCATGTCTGTGCTGGTCACCTGGAGATGGCAGGTAGAGGAAGGAGGGGTAGAACATAAACCTGTGGGTATCTTCTGCTGAGTCATCATCCTGCTCAGAGTGGGCTTGGAGATCACTTGTAGATGACGGGGAAAGTGCCCCCTCTGTTTGGGCCCCACCCTACCGTCTGCGAATGTGTCTCCTCTCCTCTTCCTCTTGCTAGATTGCCTAGAATATGGATCAGTTTACAATTGAGGCAAGTGTTAATAAATACCATAAAATAGTGCCAAGTTCACGTGGTCATCTGAATATCCATGGCTTTGGTTAATAAGCACCAAAGCTTTTCACCATTGCTCTGGACAAGCAGGGATTGACAGTGGCCAGAAAGGACTGGGAATAGTGGCTTTTGGCCATGGCATCTGGGTAATTTGCCCTTCCTTCATTCATATAACAGATGAAATGAAAAATAGTACCTGGAGATATGGTGAGGAAAGGCGCTCAAGAGCCATAAGAGATTAGAAAGCCCAGGCCATTGTGAGAAAGGATGGGAGAGGAAGCGCCAAAATTAGATGGACTCAACCCTTTGACTTCATGGGATATATTGCCCAGGGCGGCACCTTCCCTGTGAGTTCTTCCTTGATCTGGAGACCCTCCCAACCTGGACTCCCCTTGGCTCTGCCACATCGGCCCTAGAGGTGGTGGAACTCTCATCTGGTACCAAAGAGGTCCTTGTGCTCAGCCCCACTTCTTGTTCCGAGTCATTCCCAGTGCGAGCATGGGTTCTGTATCCTAAAGACTCATGGACAGATACGGTCATTTAAATATCTTTGTCCAATACGAGCATCATAGAACAAACTGGCAGAGGCTTTACAGATCACCTGGTCTGACCATTTTACAGATGAGGAAACAGACCAGAGAAGATGGAGAGAGTTACCCCAAATCACAAGTGGCTCTGCCATGACGAGAGCCAGGTCCCCTGACTCCCGGCCTGGCTCTTTCCTGCCACCGTGCTGGCTCACCAGACTTACTCTCTGATGGAATTTTGAAAAAGCCTCACTCCAGTGACTCCTTGGATCTTTCTCTTCTAAGTACATAAGAAGCCTATACGAAGAGACTTGGAGGCAAAGTCAAGGGAATCAGAACTTAAGCTTCACCAAAGGGCCTAAGAGAGTTGTTATTACCTGGAGGTAGAGACCAACACGGAGCATCCCCTTAGTTGCTAATTCCGTTTTGTTTTGGAGGTCTTATTACATGTCTTTGGAGAAGCTTTTAAATTATTTTGCTTTTCTCAGCAATGTTGTGCTCTGTTTTGAGACATGGATTTTTTTTTTCTTCTAGTGTTTCTGTCCTGAGGCAAAGCCCAACACACCTGTCTTTTGTCCACTTCTCCAGCAAATTAGATTTGTCTCTGGGAATGTGTTTGTAACGTATCAGCCTACTGCAGACCAGCAGAGGGAGCTCCCAGGCTGAATTCGCTTGTTAGCAATCCCCCACCCGCCACCCCCACCCCACCCCCCACAAAACTATTTCTTGGTAACATTTGAGAAAATTCAATAAAAATTTTAATCACACCAAAAACAATCTCAAGTAGACTGCAGCGTTTTGTTTTCATGATGATGGGATTTTGGAGCTAAGATGTTACCTCTGGCTGAGATTGTGGGAGAAGTGGGTCCAGTGACTCTAAGTGTGCATTCTGTGGGAGGAGGACTCGGAGCCTCTGGGGGTGAGGCAGCCAGATCTGGGGCCTCACTGCCGCCGCTTCCATCTTCTCGGGCTCCAAACCCCCAAGAGCTGTGTATTGGAAGATTCTCGTCCTACCATCAGGGGTCACATCTACCGGGAGACCTGGCTTCAGCAGGATGGTGTGTGTCGCTGGTGGAAGCCTATTTGAAGCAAGCAGTGTGTTTTCCGGTTATCCACCCTGGTCCAGAAGGAGGACCACCCAGGAGACGGGAGTTGTCATGGAAAAGGAGTTGTATCACACATCTAGTTCTGCGCACCTTCAGTTCATGGTCTGGTGTCTCCATCTCTAAATTGACATCAAATCCTGTTCTTAAAGAATCATTGGATGTGGTGGTAGGATTGTAGGCCTCAATATTGCTTTATTTTTATTGAGATGAAAAACTACTTGGTGCAGCAAACATTTGACTTCTGAGAAGATCATTAATATTTTTAGACATGATCATCCTGTTTACTTTCAAGGTCATTGGTATTTGAAATTTATTAGCTATATTTTGTGAGTCATTGAACAGGCGAGGGAGGCTTCATCCATGGCGTTCAGGAACATGATACTCTGCAGAGGACATCCAGCTGCTCTTGTCACTTTGTGGTCACACATCTCAGCCTGTCATCTGGGTTCAATTTCGTTCTTAGTCCTGTTGCTGATGGGGCAGCATGAAAGTCAATAAAGCACAGTCCTCACCACATTCCAGAACAATGCCATGTACCCTTGACCAGGGGCATGCTCTTGGGCCAGACCTGTGGCAGGTAAGGGGCTGCGAGAGCAGGTGCTGGTGCCTGTTGGTGCTCCAGGGGCCCCTGTGCCTGAGCAGTAGCAGATTTCACAGGCTGCTCCATGGCCCTGGACTCGGACACGTCACCTGCACGTAAACAAAGGTTTTAAAATCACAACACAGACTTCCCAGGGGCAAGACATGCCCCTTGGGAGATCCCTTGTGACACACTGGAAAAATTTAAAGGTTAAATCCAAAATAAATACAAAAATGGACCATGGGAAAAGAGATACAGCAAATAGGGAGGCAAGATCGTGAGGGAGAGAGGGCCCAGGCATGGCGTGCGGTGGCCTGACGGGGGTGTCCCACCACCACCGCCGTGTCCCGGCGTTTACTCGGCAGCACTGCAGACTTCTGAGCACTGCCCTTTAAAACTTTTTGAAAACAACAAATGTTACTAAGCATCTTCTCTGTCACTAACTGTGCCCTGTAGAGAATACAAAGGTAAAGAAGACACACGAACTCTGGTTTGGGATGGGATGTAAGTTAAGCACAGAGACCACGAGCAAGGAGTGTCTTGAGAGGCAGGGAGCAGGGCAGGTGTGAGTGGCCTCAGGTGAGCACACAGCCCGGCAGCTATGCGCCACGGCCCCGCACCTGTGGGACTCGCAGACGAAGGACTCATTTTCCAGCTTCCCCTCCTGTTCAGAGGCAGCATCCAGTGCTGTAATGGCAGCTGGTCCTGCAGGGGGGCCTGTCATAAAGCCGTCCCTGGGAGCCAGGAGAGTTCAGCACTTCAGCCAACAGCCTCCCAGAGGTGAGGGAGGAGTCCTGAGGTCCGGCCTTACTTCTGAGCATCACATGGCGTCAGCCCTGAACCCGTTTCCTCGTCCATAAGGCCTGGCTTTCCCAAAGGGGTGTGGTCCTCTTGCCACCCGGGGCTTGGCACTGTCCGACGACCACAGCTGTGAAGGACCGCAGAGGTGCCTGGGGCTGTTCTACTCGAGGCTTTCCGTGGTTCAGACATGCATGAAACTATGAATCCTCTGACATTACTTTCTGTCTAAATTTGCAGCTCTGAAGGTCAGACTGCGAGGAGAAAGCACCCTTTGGTGCTCCTGAAGGTGCCAGCTTTGTCTAGTGTCTGGTCATCAAGGGGCATCTGCCTTAACTCCCCTAGGAGACGGGGCAGGTTGGCCAGGCAGTGTGAGCTCAGCTCCCAGTCAGTAGGAGCCCAGAGCCCCTGCCCTCCCGGTG